GTATTAAACTTTAGGTAGTAGGTAGTACCCTATGCAAGTGCGAAAGACTAAATACGGCTCGCTGTCTCATGAATGTAGGTGAACACACAAGACGGTCCTTGGTGCCAACAGATATCAACCTCAACAAAATTCAACAATCGTTTCGTGACTGGGAGATAGGTATGCGACGAACGTAGTGGTCCGAACAGAAACAAGTGAAATTTTCTAACTGGTTTTGGAATAGATACGACGAGAATTCATGTTCCGCGGCACCATTTTGTCAAACATCAGTTCACTTGCATGTGATATGGATGATTCTAATGTGCTTCCGTGTTTTATTTGCTCAAATGGAAACGAAAAACGTCACATGTATGCAAATGAGTATGGTATATCGGTTCGTTTCAACGGTGAACTCTTGGTCGACCGAGAATTGGTAAAATTAGGGTGTACATGTCAATTTACTCCGCCTCCCTGTGAAAGAAAACTGTTCCAAAAATGGTAATCATGGCTGTTCTCATGTGTGCACCAATCGCTCCTTTAGGAGCCAAAAAGGAATTGACTGGGCTTGAGACAAAAGTCAGAATAAGTCCAAAATTAACATTAACAGCTGGTTGTACACGTGCGTCCGTTGACCAATCATAGAATAAAAGTTCAGGTTGAACGGACACGAATATGATGTGTTGAACCGGAGTACATGATGAGGGAAGTTCAAGCACTGCACTTGTACGTGATGGGAAAACTGACTGTGTTAAACTCGATGCATAGAGGAGACTCAAACAAAAAGTGAAAGACTCCATAGTTAATTAGTTAAATATGAAACAAGTAGTCAGATGGTGATTATTTTCAACCGAGTCATAACTCTAGAGGCTAGTGCTGAGATGAGCTAGGTCTGTGACCTGCGACAAGCTCGCAAAGATGGGTTGTGTTATATCATGTAAATGGAAAATGAAAGGCTGTCTGACCAGCTGCTTGCTGATCGAGTGAGTAACATACTTGCGATCTGCCCATGAAGTCCCGGGTTCGATCCCCAGTTGGGTGGATGGGTACGCATTGCTGTGGACACCGAACCATGTTCCAAGCAGCTGCCCGAAGTTCCTAGCTATTCAGTTTACGCTTTATTTGCTATATACACGACGAGTTCCCCCTTTGAAAATTCGGGAGAGATTGAAATTGTTTCTTATCACTGCGCTCGTGATAATGAGTGTGTGAATCACTTGCAAGATGTTCCCATTCCACGCGAAATTCGCAGGCGACCTATCGATGTAGGCAAATAGGCTTGCTTTAGTATTTCAAACTACGTTTTCCCTTCTCGAGCTATGGTTTAAAACAAACTAAAGTAATGTCTATACCAAACTGGAGGCATTCATTTTAACTCAATATACTCGGTCAGCAACTGTGTTGTGTATGTGGGATATCACTTACTCACCTCATATGCAAAATGTTTTTGTTTCTTCACAATACGAATTGTGTCAACTGTGTAGCTCATATGACACGATTTCAGCTCCAAACCGGAAGATTCACACATTGATTTCCGGGTGGTAGGGGATACCAAAAAAAGCAGTACATACTACTGATTTGAAACAGCCACGATGAAACCGTAGTCTAGTGACTTTTGCTTGCTATCACACGCAATCAAGACATTTGTCTCATGTTTATGGTAAATAATGATTTAGAAAGCACTACCAAGATACATCATCCTAGGGACACAATTCATCAATGCCATCGCCGAGGTACAACATTCTGTTCCCTTCTACTGATAACTTTATCAAAACAAAAAATGCGTAAGCGATTTTGGTATTCTTGATGTGATCTGTATCTTTTTAGATCACAACCATAGAATTCGAAGAGACTGTCAACTATCGAATTGTAAAACTGTACGATCTGCGGAATCTAATCAACTGTAAACAAATTCCTTCTGCTTAGTCAAAATCTGGTGTAGGATCTATCATGGCTGCATTCTGATTAAATGACTTTGAATTCCATTAGTGTCGGAGCTATCGGAATGTCTGTTTAGTGAATCCCGTAGGACGGCAATAACTCTTGGTTAGAACGCTGTATAATTGAGGGGTAAAGTGTAAAAGAAACGATAATACACCCTTTGCCAATAAAAGATAACTCGGTGGAAAAAAAAACTTCCGTCAGGCTGTCATCACTGATTATAGCGATAGTGAGTTTATTGGTTTACAGTCGAAATCCAGTAGGTCGATTCCATACCGGTATTTTGTTTGGACATGAAACAGTCAGAACGCCTGATCAGGCCTGCGAAAACTACTTTACAACCAACTCACGCTCTTATGCAAACACTGGTCTGATCATGTGACCATTGTCTGAACTATTGATCACACAGCATCGACATGTCAACTTCATGTGAAACCGTTGTAACTTAAAATGAATCCGCTACCGAGTAATTGTTGATTGGCGCTCCGACCATCACACGTTACCTATTGAATCGGGAATTCCTGCCCTATAGGAATAAACTGTATCCATAATCAAAAAACAATTTTCAGTGAGTTATCGAGCGGGGATGAAAGCTTTCGTGGTGCGGGGTTCAACTGTTGACATGCGAATACACCCACCCTCACCCTAGTAATCGTATACCCTGGACCACTGATCCAGTGAGCTTTGGACGAGAATGAACGAACCGGTGGTGACTGACTTCCGTCAGTCATGTGAGAAAACGAGTCGGGTTGAGATGGATCGAGATATCCGTCGCCGTGTTTAGGCGCAAATGTGGTCGTAAATCGCTGCACGAGAAGGTTTGGCCTAGGCCGTCATTATTCCAGTGAACCGATTCTATTGATGCATAGGGGCCCTCCATTTTCGGCACTGAGTGCAGATTGACAAAATTCTTAACCAAGTATCNAATAGAAGGAATTAGTAGTCTCTGGGTCTTGAACAGACTCGTTTTCTAATGCAAATTTTAAGTTATCTTAAAAGTGTGCTACGGTGATATGCGTGAGAAGCTACAACCTTAGTTGTATACAGTTTGTTCCTTAAGTAAGGTAACCACATTATCCGCATAAGCCGTGCCACTAGGAGTATACTGGTAGTGGAGCTACGTGCCACCGGGAGCTCTCAAAGTCGCAGATAGAAAAAAACTGAGTGGTATTGAAGATGTCCCTCTGTAACGTATTCTCAAGATTTTCCAGGAAAACAATCCTTCCTCAGGTAGTATAGAATCACTGACCCAAAATATGCCTACCGTTGAACGAATTCTGAACTTATTTCAAATCTTCAAATTTGACTCACAGTTACTTGTGAGTGTGGGATAATTGATATTGATTGGTTTGATTGACCATCCTTCGAACTTCACCTTCACGCACAATCCTCAGTTCATGCACTACTAATGAGCTCTAATAAGAGCGAAACTCGAGTCTGGTACTCCCGAGTGTATGGTTGAATCGATGAACTGAGGATTGTGTCCGAAGAATAGTCAGTCAAATCAATCAATATTTTTTTTAAATCATTACCTCATAAGATAACCGGAACGAACTGATCAGTAGTGTGAATTGCTCTTGCTGATTGCGATTCTTTATCAACTTTGGTCTCACTTGATGAACTAAAAGGAACCAGAGATTTGAACCTGCAGATTGGGAGTCAAATCATCTGTCCCAAATTCGTGACGTTTGTAGTCAACACCCTCTAAACTTCTTCCTTCCTGAAAACACTATTGCTAAAACTCAGTTCATGTAAAGCTATCGTTTATTATAGTTGTGTGATTCCACTTTGCTCGTTGTTTTACGATCGCTACATAGTGACACTATCCACAAATGGGAAGTGCTTTTTATTGTTCCAATATCAAAGGAATTTACAACTTAAATTTAGCGGTTACGCTGGAAAGTAACCTGATGACAACAATTACCACCACGACCAATAGCAATTGTCACCAGGGTTTTCCGAGAAGACTAACATTTTAAAAAATCCTTAGGCAACAAAATGCATTCCCAACAGAATATCACGGATTGGGGTACGCGTTTTAGTTATTTCTGCTAGTATGGTTCAATTTTGTCAGGACAGCTTAGTTTAAATGCGATGAAAATGTTTGTGATAACCGACATATAGATAGCACTGGGTAGCTGTTTCGTCCCTTATCCTTAAGCTACACCGCCCACGGTCATCACATTGTGCGACTGGCTCAATCAATTTTGACGGTCAATGTTTGGATTAGCCCATTCGGTGTTTTCACAGGTACCAGGCACCACTGTTGATGATTCAGTTTAATTTACAAAACACTTTTGGTCTAGTTCAAGGTCGTGAAGGGGAAGGAAAAACGCATAGTTGAATGAAATCTATCTATCCTCATGGTTTATAAGTGATAAAATTGGAGATTAGAAAAAAACAAGAGAAAAGAGAATAATCATAACAGAAGTAGTAGCAAAAAAGAATAAACGGCGTTTCCCCGACACTCACAATCATCAAATAACATCTACAATAATCGGAACCCATCCCAACATGGTGCATAATCCACATCGAATGAAAAGTAATGTCACACACGCACACACACACACACTCGAAATGACTCGGGATGCTTCTGGGTGAGTACATCACGTGACACAGCGATCACTGTTTAATCTCATATATTCGACCGGGGGGGGGGAGGGGTGAACATGAGCTAGACATGATCAAATGAACAGCAGCTTCTAAGCACCCCGAAATGGGTGAATAAGTCCAAAATCAAGAGTAATAGAGAAGAGAGTTCAGTAAAAACACGCAGGTGAAGTGTGGACGAACAAATAGAAAATAGAATATAGAAAGGCAGAGGAAAATCTCGGGATTAGGGGATGGGAGTATGACGATTCATGTGGAACCTGATTTGGTTCGTGTATTGAGAGATGAATTGCGGATGACAAAAAATGAACCCCTCCATTGATTCCGAGGTTTGTTTCTGTCTCAAATGTTCCCCAAGTAGGTGAAGGACTACACAGAGGGTTACAATATGGCATATGCACAGTAAGAAAATGATGTCTGCTGCAATAAAGAAGACAAGGGAACAACCGTGAATCCCGAAAATCTGAATCAAGCTACCGCGTCGAACGTCGCCAGTCGGATCCTGGTTGCGACTCCGACTCCACATCTGCTGGCCTCCGAGGTGTAACTAGATTGGAATAATCCGCATCAAAATCTGGTTCATCTAATGGGATATTTTGATCAAACTGACCCGGTGAACATGGTGCGGAGACACAGGCCTGACCGGTGGAGTCCGGAGATGTGTTCTGTTCCTCCTCCGTGGTTTTAGCCCAGCCCAAATTCACACTGTGTCGAATATCGATGATTTCCCGCGCAACATCATCGGATAACTCACTCAAATCCAAATCGGCCTGATAACAGAAAAGACAAAAACAGTCCAAAGAATAAGCATATGAACACACCAAAACATGTGCCAGCTAGCTGCTCGTGAGTTACCTAAGACAGCTCTGCAGTATTCTATTCGCAAAGTAGGTCACGCTAACAATGTGGCTTGTTTATGATATTCACATTCCATCGACGCCTTCCTTCTAAGGCGGGCACAATGAAAAAAGATCGATCAGTATAGTCGTTTTTGATCAGACGATGATTGCGATAAACATTGGAGACTGTTCTTTTTATATTCTAGCATAAATTATAGTCACCAAAGACGAATTCTTTTACTGTTCAATCATTCAGAAATGTAAACATGATGTCAACAGTTTACTAACGCGGATAGTGATTGGAAGCGTAGTCGCAGATGAGCATTTGCAACGGAATATGTAGGTGGCATACGATATACCCATCGTGACAATGAATACATGTGGATTACTGTGGCCTATTCTTCAACAAGTATTACGCATTGGTGATCGCCGAGTCCTATTCCCGTTGGCCAGAAGTCTACTTTACTACATCACCCTGTACAGAACTTACCACTCGAGTACTCAGAAAAACGATTAGTAGAGACAGTATCCCGTACACTATCGTGACTGATAACAGAAGTCATTTTACTGCTAAGAAAGTTATCGACTGGTTGAACTCCGTGAGTTCTCCGCATGTTCTCACTTCATCCTGACAATCACAATCAAGTGATGCAGTGATGCGCACGATGAAGAGTGCCATTGCTTCTTTGAATCCTAGTGCATTTGATAAACTGGACAGAGTCGTCAATAAATTTCTGATGCAATACCGTAACGCAATTCATTCAACTATGAGGCATAGCCCAGGAAAGCTGTTCAAGAGTTGAAAACTTCGAACAAATCTCCTAAACTTGGAGTCTGTGGAAGTCGTGTATCATAGTGGTAACGATTTACGACCCTTCAGAGGCATCGGACCAGACCACATGGAACAGACAATATGTTGAATATTGGATTTAGACGATGATACTGTACCTTGAAGACAAGTAGACAAAATACTGTGAGATTAGCCCAATACCGTTGCTAATTATGAACCTAATAATTCTGTTATTTCTGAGTCCATTACAAGTAAAATTCATTCCAGTACAAATGTTGAGAACAGTAGAGAGTTACCCAGAAGATCCGAACGGTTGCTCATCAAAGCCCGCTGTTATTATAGTAAAATGAAGCTTCATTCCAGCTGCGGTGGATGTGGTGACTGCAAATTAACTATGAGCTCGCTCGTTTTACGGAACACGATATCCTTGTAAATTCCGGATTTCCGCTTAGTAAAGTTCGTTTTCATTTTTGAGTGTTTTGTTCTGATTTCTTTCTGAGTTCTATAGTGTTATGTTGGACTATTACTGCGCAGATTTCCATACGGATACGAATTATTCGTTTAAGTGCAATATATACACCCATCATTCAAGAAAATAAGTCGACAGTAATTACACAAAAACAGCCTAAACGTAAACGCAACTAGATGAATCAATCATAGTCACATTAACAGCCGGCGATGAGTCCGAGTCATTTCGTGACACGTATTGCTACTATCGGAATTTCTAGTAGGTTAAAAGAATAAAAACTGACCTCAGTTATGCTGGAAATCAGTCCTGTTGTTGTGGCTGTTGAATTCGGAAACAGGATGGAAATCGAGGCTCGATCAAGGTTACCAAATAGGGATCGGCCTAGAGGACCAAGGGAGAACCGCCTGAGTGAATCATTTGACAGACTTGGTGCCGAGGGATCCGGAATTTCAGCTGACGCAGTGGTCAGTGGATTGGGTAATCTAAGAATACTGGGTACAGCCAAAGAATCTGGACGTCGTTGATCTTTCCGCAATCGACTCCGGACACGTCGCACGTGATGTTCTTTATCGCTCAAACTGTCCAGCATGTGTTGCCGAAGTTCCAGTGCAAGATTTTCTGTACTCTGTGTGAACACGTAACGAGGAAGAGCGCAAACATCATAAGAAATAAATAGAATAAAGATATGTGTGAGTGGGTGGGTGGGTGGGTGGGTGCAACGACTAGGCATTGGTTTACCCTAACCGCAATTTAAATTTAGCTATCTCCTTCTCAATGGTGGTCCATATTAACCTCTAAATAGGTTGTTTGTAGCATTTCTGAGTTGCAAAAAATTACATCACCGTCTTGCTTCGATGTGGTTAGTATACTCTCTGCACAGGGATGCCTTGCATGGAGAAATGCCCTTTATTGTGCGATAAATTATGACTGAGACTGAATGGCCGGATTTATGCGCCTTCATTATGCGCCACGTCTGCTTCTTGTGTATACCGAAACCCCTTGGTTTGGTCATGGTGAGCCAACAAGGAAAACATTCAACGGGTCACGCAACACACGGTCGACTTGTGGAGGTTCATCTTTGCGTTACTTGGAGAGAAGACATTTCACGTGGGATGTTCTGCCTACACAAAGTTTTAAGTTATTTAAGATATTAACTCTGACCACATGACCTAATGAAACAAAACCCATTAACGAGAAAGAATGAGTTTCCATGGTGCTTTGAACCCAAAGTTTTGAATTTTAAGTTGTAACTGCCGTAGGACTACAAATTTTACCTTGACGCTCAGGGTCACGCCAATGCGAATAGTGATAAAAATTTTTACTAACATAGCAGTGGGAGACAAAATTCGGAATAAAAGCTCTTCACAAATAGTTATCAATACATAAGTATGATATCGCAAAGTGAAATATATTTCCTAATATACTTCTTCTTACTGTTTCTTATTTCTTTCTTCTATTTATTATTTCTTCGTGTAGCACCAGTTCTATCAATAGCTATGTACGAGTGTTTATGAAGCACAAGGAATGACAATCGGATCGACGTTTCGGTACAGCGTAGTAAACTTATTTAGTATGATAGAACTCAGTGACACATTGGTGTCAGTAACATACAGATTCACTGTAGTCGAAATGTACTGATCTGATATTGAAAATAAAGCAGCTTCTTCATTAGAAACTGCTTCGTGCCACGACATTCGTAACAATCATCGGATGCTACAAAGTTGTTTATTGCGGATAGTTCAATCATCAACGTGTCTCCGCAGAGCTATGTGACCCGGTATTTGTGGCTTTCCTCAGATTATTCAAGACAAGCTTTACATTGAAATGGTTAATTGGTTAAGCTCATACTTAAAGGAGCAGCGATCAGTGAATTTCGCTTCACTGTATTACGCTGTACAATGATGATGATGAGGATGATGAATGATACTTAAAGGATTATAGAGCCGGTCAACTTGAAGAAGAATTCAATCGAAAGAGGAATTTACAATGGAGGATGAAGAAAAATGAATGGTTGTGAAGTATAGCATTTTGTACATCAATATTTTCATTCTGACATCAATGTGAACACCCGTCGTTCGTAATCAGAAAAACGCCTGTTCTATTCAACCTATCACTTTAAACTGTGAACTTATTCCAATCCTCGGTTTCAAATGAGTTTTTCTCAGGAATAAGTTTCCCTTTTGTCACAGAAGCCTACATGGCACAGTAATAAAACAACTCACCAAATGAGTATGCGTGTCTGTCGATGTTGTTGTGGACGGCGATGAGAAAGAGCTTCCTGAAACAGATGACGAGCGTCTACGAACAAGTTTCCCCTCGCCTCCGGAAATTCGGGCAGTCGAATTTTGACATGAATTTGAGTCGGAAGTTTCATCCACAGGTCGCTTCATGCGTAAACGGCGTCGTCCCGGTTCTGGACGCAGCTGGACACCATATTCCCGTGATACAATCTCTCTCGGGTCCAGTTGAATATCATTTGGTCGACTAACTACAACCGAACGGGAGTCCTGGGTACTGATTGCACTGGAAGGAACTGTAGCAGAAGGCTGAGGTTTGGGAGGTTCATTCGGCAGTTCTAGGAGAGAGCGCTCACGTTTGCGTTTTCCAGTAGACCACAACGGGGAGACTTGGCCAAGTAGAGGGTATTGACCCTGAGAATGGATTATGGCTGTGGATTCACGATCTGTATCACTCTGAGTAGTAGTGTTATGATCCTCACTTTCAAGCGTGGGTGAATCAACGTTCCCTTTGTCCGAATCGTAATGCATCGTATTCAATTCCGCTTTCCTAAAATTAAATTTACAAACGGCTAGTTAACAAACCAACAAAAGGTAATGGGACTATGGTTATAAATCGTACCGAACCCCTGTAAAAATCCAGCGAGCCAAAATAAACATAAAATTACTGATACAGGCAAACCTCGTCAAATCTCATCCTCTTTTTGGTTCAGACTCGATGACGACATTGCGGGAGGTGGTGCACTTAGATATACATTTCCCGATGTACAGTGGGTTTCATTATGCTTGATTGTTACACGATAATCCCCAGTAGTTCCTCACAGCTATTCATTGAGTTCAGTGCGATCGATTTACCTACCGCCCTCCCACCCCCCACTCATAGTGAATGTGTTTAAAATGCCCTAATTGCTAGCTGAAATATTTGGAGCTCGTTAGTTGCAGTGCAGCTTCATAGTGGGTGACTGTTTCCTGGTGAATCAAATCGGACAGGGATGTTCGATTGTTGCAGTAACTCAAGCCTGTGCCACACTGCGTCATCCAACCATGAAGTTACTATGATGCTGGGCAGATGCTTACGATTATCGGTGGCCATGTTCTCCGCGTCCAGGACCTCATTTATCTTACAAATATTTCCCTTCCCCTTTCAAATTTCGTTCACGGCGAGCGATGTCCATTTTCAACCTTCCGGTCTTTCTACCATTGTTCAACCAAATGGGCAGCCGAAAGAGGCAACGAAAACCGCGACACGAGGGTGTATGGTTAATGGTGGTACAAACTGAACTGAACTAAACTGAACTTTTGTTTGCCAGAGCGACTTTAGGTGGAAGATTTTACCCCTTGTTTTATTTATGATAAGGCACGTCAGAAGGGACGGAGGAACATGGTACCGCGTGCATGAATAGGACAAATGTAAGGGTGGGCCACCATTGTGTGTATATTACATGGGAATCTATGAAGCAAACAGAATAGTTTGTCAACAACATGATAATCAAACACCCTAGTAAGAATTCTGGTGTCACTGAGTCTGTTTCCATAGCGTGGCGTCGCCATGAGCAAGTGAAGCTTCAACAACTGATTTAAATGCGTGCATAAAGAGTGTTTGGGTGCACCGTTGAAGGGTTTTCATTTAATCTAATTAGCCCTTGTTATTAACAATATAGACACGCGCGGAAACACCCTGCTACACGACCTAAGCAACCCAGTTTGCAATCAAACCCCGTTCTGATTTATGTGACTGACCAGCCTTTTCCAAATCTGTTCTCATGTGGACAAAGTATGGGAAATCGGTCTTTGTAGCTCGGGTGAAATGAAATCATTTTCACCGAGCTTGACAATTCTGTTTTGCAAGTTTCATCCTTGGCCGAGGGGACAACTTCAGTGCTTGTGTAATGATCTGTATTTCAATCGGCGAGGGGATCATTTGGGTGTTCTGTGAGCTACGAACCAGCGATTGGTAGAGGTGAGACATAAATGTGGCATGACTGCAGTCTTTATGTTTGAAACAACCTTACGGGTCCAAGATAAAAAATGGAAGTGCATATATCACAAGTTTTGCCCCCCNCCCCCCACCCCCCAACAACGATTCAATATCTCGAAAGGGATTAATGCGCGTTTAGCTTAGAATTGTGCGTGAATTGCAGTACGAAGAACGGTCCACCAATAAAAAATACATAACTTATATCATTACTCACTAGTAATCTAGTTAAAAAAGTAAAATTCGAAAGCATTGATTCGGTCTTAGTACAGGGGTGACAAGACTTTTTGAAGTCAAATAACAGAAACAAAATGGAGCATACAACTGTGGAATAAAAATTTGCTACTCGATGGATTCAACTATAAATACAATCACACAAGCTTCCTCGATCTTCCAGTAAAACCATCACTGAATTCGACTAACTAATCGACAAAACAAAAATTGATTCATTCATCTATTTTCTTACTTACCCTCACAGTATGCTACAAAGTGGATGAAAGCATGCTTCTGACCGAAATATGATTATGGTGGGAACAATAGCAACTGACATGACGAGAACAGGAGAGTAAAACACGATACATTTGTGGGAAAGGTGTCGTGTTACAACGGGTTCAATTCAATCTATACCACCATTTCTGTAGTTGTCTTTTGTCTTTACCCGTATAGCTTTGGAGGCAGCTTTTTGGTTGATACGAAAAAGTGTGCAGATCATGAACACCAACATGTAAGAGGGAGATTTTAGTTTCAACAATCCAATAGCTTCTGACCGGCTCGCCTTACTGGAAAGGAACAGCACGTCATTGGTTGGGGGCTTTTCACCTCGGAGGGGGGAGGGGGCATCAGGTGTATGATGAATTACAAAGACTTCGTCCATCGTCTGTGGGAGGTCTCAGATGCCCCTTCGCCCATGTTCATCTACAAGGATTCTTACTTAACAAGTAAACTAATTCCCTTCTTGTTTGTCTGCCAGAGTTACTTCTCCAAGGAGGAAAGTGGATGGTCAAAGGAAATCAAGTGCCCAATCAGCCGGTCTTGTACGATTGGGCTTTATCTAGACTGCTGCGCAGGCCTAGATCTTAGCTTGTGAGAAACCATCATGTATAGCTCTCAGTTTCATGGATGCAATCGAGCCATCACACCGTGCAAAAGTGCAGTCGGGTCGCTACGGGTACGGGACGCAGTAGTACCTCTCTGCACAGCAACTATACAGTCACAGCTGCAACAAATCAAATAAAAATGCATATTATAATTGTTATTTATCCTGTGCTTTTGTGTTGTCACATGCCAACAGTACTACGCTTCTTTATCCAACATAGAAAACTTGAATAACAACTGACCTGTCGAAAAATTAGGAAAAAATTCTTTATGAGTATTTCTCACAAAACTACATGAGGAAAGCAACATTTCATTAATCAAACACATACACATATACACTTACAAAGAACTTGGTTGCACAGTCACCACTTTTTCAATTGGTTCAGCCGATGCAGTATTGTTCTTTTCACGTAACGAGGCACTGGCTGCGACCACAGTTAGGTGACTCAGACCACTAGTTAGCGACTGACTTAGCTGAGTGCCAGACATGTCATCCGGATCAGAACCCAATTTGGACTGACTTTCTAGTCCTCGATCTGCATCGTCAGAACCGGACCAGGATTCGCCAACCGGCACTTCGTGGTGACTGGAGGCGGAACCGAAACGATCCCGGTGAACTCGTACACGAGACGTGTCGCAGGGCAGAAATAGGGAATCTTGACTAAAATGGCGACGTGCCGAATTGGGTCGTGATTTATCAGTGGTACTCTCGGTCGGACTGAACATTTCGTTTGGTGCTACTGTGGTACAACTGGAATTCAGCACAGAGTTCTCACTTCGCCCACTCGCATCCGGATCACTTGAATTATTCTACGACAGAGACAAAGTGATGGTAAAATCGTAATGAAGACACAAGGATAGCCATAAATTGTAGTTTCTTTCTCCAGAGAGCAAAAGAAAAAGAGTGCAGAATTTGATCTCACCCTTTGACAGAGTGGATGAAAATAGCACAATACGATAAATCACTATTAATATGGTGCATCAATGCAACCAGCACTAAATTTATGGGAATGAACACCAAGACAGACAGGGAGTGGATAAAAAATACGTATTTCAACTAATGAACTATTTCGATCACGATCTTACTCTAATTTACACACAAAAAATAAAAACAATTCTGCATTATCGAATTCTTACGATAAGAATGAGATCGTTGGACGATTAGAAATTAACACTTCATGGGATGTCACCTATCACAAGAAACGTTTCAGAACCACTGTACAGCCGCTTCGTCCTTGTTAAGAACCGTCAGCATCTCATATCCAACAAGCTCACGCCGAATGCACTTTATCATCAGCTTACCCAGGCTAATTCTACCGGTTGGTTTACCGCCAACACTACATGATAAGGCAGGCATCCGTCTCTACCTTTCATGGTGAGCCTGGGGGACGACAGGACGATTCATATTCAAATACTTTGATTGCTATAATTTCCCGACGGCACCTTTCCAACAACTACATCAACTACAAACAGAGTTATTCGGGATTCATTCTGATCATTTTTCTGCTTGTCTTCTGAACCTGTACGAGATGAAAATCAACAAATAACATCCTGAAGCGATTTGAAAAATGACAGCTCTAGATATGTTACCTGAAAAGTTATAAGTAAACAGTAGACATTGCCGTTTGGTCAGAACGGACGTGTATTTTGCAAGTTCTATTCACTTTCAAGCCCGAACAATAGGTGCAGGCTTACAGAGTTTCATTTCACGAAAACCTCCTCTAATTTGGACCTCCTCCTTCGATTCTTTCTAGGCTCTAAGAGAGACACAGAGATTTTATTCTACCCTGGATTTGGCGGTTTCATGCGATGAATATGTGATAGCAGTGAGTCAGAAATGATGACAATCACCAACAACTGTAATCGTCCAACGAATTGTACCAATTCGCAGACATCGACTACCTCTAACAACCAGTGGTGAGCAGCGATGATCACATGACAGTCTGTAAAAATAATCAATCAATCAGTCCGTTAAAGTATCACATTATGTGCACACATTCAAAATCACAGGTTTTAAAAAGTGCAGTGTTGAGTATAAATCATGTAACTCTTGATACAAAGATAACAGCTTGCGTCCCAAGTGGGTGGTAAGTGTAGTGCGCATTGTTGATGGGTCCCGACAAGGATGAAACAGCGCTCGTACAAACAAGCTCCATCGTAGATGAAATCCCCGGGGTATATGGAGAATTGGACGAAATTCAAGGAGTGAGGTCCACACAACAACGGAATACACCAATTCTTATGTCAGTGAATTTGCACGGATAACACAAAATTTTCACGAGATTAAGACGAAGCATCATGATCACAGATGCGTTAAATTCAACTATTTCGTGGTAATCTCATCAGATGCGTGCAGACATTCAGACCACGTTTAGTTAAAAAGGGTGACAGGTTCGGGAACAAACGAATACACAAAGGGAAGAGAAATCAACCAACCGGAGGGACAAAGGTCACAAAACTGAATGGAATTGAGCTGGGTGCAGGGGGCATAATCATTGAATCCAACCTGAGCAGAGCCGATTTTTAAGTTACCTCTTATGTTTACCCTTTTCAATGTACTTTGGTACATCAGAAGAACCGAGAGACGATTGCCCACCAGAATATCAGAGTATCCACCGAAGAATATACATAGAGAGGTACCAGCTTCCATCCAGCCGAATCGCCCATCATATGCTAGATCGCAAGGCGTGTGATAGTCAAAGGAACGCCTTTCGTGTCTTAATTAGCAACAATAATGGTTATTGACTAAGGTCTACTGAGGTAGTTTCCAAACAACGTCATAAACCTGATTTGTGAAGACAGATTGCATTCCTGGTCAATCTAGTGCTACGGTGTTGAAAGTGATTGCACAATGCCAACGGCTTTCGGACAGTTACACTCAATATTTATTGATGAAAGGCTTCTCCAGTGCTTGCCTGTCTACGAACGTATATAAAGCCGATAAGACGATCATTAAACTAATGAACTCAAAACATCCTGCGAATATGATGTTTCTTGATCTCGTAGAAATAAGACAAAGAGCTAGTTATATACGATAAAACAAGCTGGTTGAGCTGAAAATCCATCCATCCATTGGTATGAATAAAGTAATTCGTGATCTGACTTGACTTGACTGTGCTATGCCATGCATATGGTGCGCTTCGGCGTACCTGAACGACAGTCAACGCCTCACCGTAGACCGAAAATCGCTATCAGATACAAGCTACTCGTTAGTAGTATGAATGTACTGATATACAAAGAGTCTAAAAGCCTTGACATAAGTAAAAAACGGTTAATTCAACGGATAACGCCTGATATGTTGGAAAAAACGTTCTGAAATTTCAATCGAAAGAGGTGATAGGTGGAAAAATATCGGTGATGTACTGTATGAAGGATCTCAAGGAAGAAAGAGGCCATTAACTCCATCAGAGGTAAAAAAGACTTTCTATACCTCGTAAAATGTCCCTAGACTAAACGGTACCGTTTTCTTACGCCAGCAACATTCAAACACATCCTTCAAGTGTACTGTGCATCAGCAGGCATATATATGACTCTGAGGAAAAAATCTTTCTGTCCTACAAATATTCCATGCATACACTTCGTTCGCTTTCGAACAGAAACGATCGTACACTAGTTGCCTGGTCTATGTAAAGTGTACAAAAGTAAACAATGAAACAAAAAATCCCTTCAACTTATAGACGATGCATGCGTTTCAATTACTGAACTGTTTGCTGTGTTCTAAATGGTGAACATTCTTATAAAATAATCAACATCTAACTTTGAATAAAACAGTTGGAATATCAACTAGGTTTACCTGTGCTTCTTGTAAGAACGATGTCAACGTCGCGTTCACATTCTCCGAGTGTCAGCTAAAAATCGTAATCTTCCCATTCACTTATCAGGCAGACGTTTGCACAGACCATTTACCACATAATCATAATCGGTCTAATTGCTTGATCCATCGAAATTTAAACCGCGCCCACAACACAATTACCGCATACGGGTAGATGGATTAATCATACCAGTGACCCAGCATCACTGGCCATAGATTTAGACCCGGAACATGGCAAAATAACCCGTTTAAAGTACCTGTGCGGGGAAAACAATATGGTAGCTTCCGGGGGGGGGGTACCTATGATGACATCATGTGTGAATGCGCACAGCACCTTCCATTTGCCTCGTAATGTCACAGACATTACAGCCTAGCGTGTGCTGTAAGAAGCAAAAATAGAGCGAGGTTTGGTCGGGCAATAGACTGCATACTGGATACCTCGAGGCTATGAACAAATAACTAGATACTAATTATCCACGTGCCACGGACTCCAGACAGTCAGGGGCCAGCCTCCAGATTTCATATTAGTTACCAAAGAGTCAAATATCGTATCGCTTGCAACAAGAAACCGCGAAGTTGTCTAGTATTAATTTCGTGTAAACCGGAATAAGTTTTTTCCGACAGCGAACAATGAATGTCAATAGGCATATTCAGTTCAGTTTCAGTTTATACAACCGCTAACCATGCATTATCTTGCGCCGGTTTTGGTTGCTGTCTTTTGGTTTCCCATTTGGATGAACATTAGGGGAAAGACAGCAAAGGTAGAAAGTAGGATCATAGCGAAAATGTAGAATTTCGGTGGACTAATGTTGCAGAGAAATTGAGGATATGCACGAACGCCACTAGATGCGACATTCAGCAATATCATTTAGTGTCCCTAACAATCGGGTACGAGGTCTCCAGCCAGGGAGCCTAACGGGAACTATGTGACCCAGACTCCTGGTTAGGGTTTTCATACCCTCATGCAAGAACTTAGCTTGACCACCCTTGGCTTTATTCCAACCACTACCTGCCTTGAAGAACATCGCTCGCAGTGGCGACCTATTTGGAGACATGCCTGAAACATGCCCCAACCAATGTAATTTATGGAGGTCGATCACTTGCTCCAGTGGACGACCGTGATTGCCAAAAGCTCTGCGCCTAACCTCAGCATTGCTAGTCCAGCTGCCCTACCAGATTTGTGCAATGCTGCGTAGATAGCGGCGTTCGAACACCGATGGTCTATCTTGATCCTGTTTCCTTAATAGCCAAATTTATCTGCTGTATAGCAGAACTGACCGAACTGCCGCAGCATACACTGGACCTTTAATAGACAACGGGATGTCGCGACGGCGCCAAATATGTCTGAAATTGGTAAATGCCAACTGAATCTTCTGTATGCGAGCTGACATTTCATCCGTGATGCGTCCACCGGCATGGACCCAACACCCACCCGCCGAGTATCCTACTCATTGGCTAAAAATTGGTTCACGGAAGATTCCCATATGAATATCAAAAGCAAAACAGTATGGCGAACCAGCTTGTTTTCGTAACTTCGTCTTCAGGCGTTTACAGTTATGTGTGCGTATTTATATGTCATGTAGAAATAACCGTGGTTGGACTATAGAGGTTATGTGTGAAAATGCAACAATGTCTGTCAAGTTTAATCGGGACCAGCGGATAAAATGGGGACAGTNTCGTAACTTCGTCTTCAGGCCTTTACAGTTACGTGTGCGTATTTATATCTCATGTAGAAATAAACGTAGTTGGACCATAGAGGTTATGTGTGAAAATGCAACAATGTCTGTCAAGTTTAATCAGGACCAGTGGATAAAATGGGGAGTGGGGGGGGGTCAATTCTGGATTTTTCGGTGACCTTTTTTCATGTGCCATTTGTCACGCCATGTTGCGTCATCATGATACGATTGAGGTCATC